GTCTCCTCTGTCACACCGCTGCCGCTAAGCACAGGAGAGCAGTGGCAGTCAACCTTCTTAGTTTCCCGGGGTGTCATTTATCAGTACATTTCCATATTTTTATATCTATGTATAAAAACGAAGCTGAGACTTGATCAGAGGTGTGATCATCACAGCAGATGATCAAGGTCTCTGCCCCCCAGCTTTGTGGAGTCTTTCATAAACTGTTCATGACGAGTCTGCAGAGGGTCCCAGTGCAGTGGAAGACATCATGCCTCATCCCTGTACCAAAGACATCACGTCCCAGGATTACAGGCCTGTCAAAGTAACGGAGGATAAAACAGAAAAACATGAAGCAGATTTTCCTGTTCTGGCTTTTTACAGCAGATAACCTTCAAAATATTCTGCAGTAGAACAAAAATGGAAGAAAACCATGAATCAACATGTGAATCTTACCTGATGCTGCTGAAGTGAAGCAAAGTTACAGAGGTTTGATTGGAGACACAGCTGAGAGTTTTGCAGCTTGGCAGAATTTAAAACAATTTAAGTGTCTTCGGTTTGAAGAACAGAAATGAGGCTTTCTTGTTGGAGGTCATTTTTGGAAAAAAACAAAAGCACCTGACATTGCTGCACACAGCTGTAGACCGGTGCGTAATAAGCACCAAAGCACCATAAGCAAGCGAGTAATGCAGAAAATAGAGATTTTGATGGTAAACTGGTCTCTGAGTACACTGAGAGAGAGAAAGCTGTGCAGGAAGTAAAAGCACGAGTCAGAGGGAAGTCATCGTTGTCAAACGTGACGCGTAGTTTTGATCTTTTGCTGCTGGTTCAGTGAATTTTGGTCAGAGTGACCAAACCTGTGACACGTCTGCTGTCAGCACCCAAAATCGATTTGAACTGCACCCATAGTTACTGTTTGGTCACTTTGATGGACAGTTCAGGTTAATGCGTTAAACTGAGTTACACCATGGCAGCGCTGTTTTAAAGCATATTACAAACGGAATCTGGATTACTTTACCTGAAGAAATCCTTAAAACAAAGGATTCTAAGGCAAGTTCTGTGAGTGTATTACTTCCTGTTTTACTTTGATAGTCTTCCGTATGGCGCGTGAGCTTCCAGCTGTATGTTTCCCAGTTAGTTTGCGTTGTTACTGTTTTATCTACTCCACCTTTTGTGAGCTAGCTGAGATTTTCAGTTTGCTTCTTTATTGCATTCTGGGTCTCTGCCTGCACATGCCCCTGACATGGCACTGTACTTCTATTTATGACTGTGTCTTATTTTTTACCTCACAAAGAGCGTTTTTCCTGCCGTTCCACTGTTTAGTTGTCACTTCAGTTATTTTTTTCTGGTTTTTCAGACCTTCTGGTGTTAATGAGCCATGTAGTGCATACTTTGAACATTTTTAACTTGGTGACTCTCACTGGTACATCTAGATTTTTCAGCTTAATGCTAGCCTTCATCAGCATCTCTTTTGAGCCAAATAATTTTTAAATTTTTTATATAAAATCGAGAATAACGCTCCAGAAGATATTACAACGTATCTATTGAGATCTTATTTTTCTGTCACTAAACAGCATATGAAAAACAGAGAGAAACCCAAGAAATTGACCTGTGCAAAGGTTAACTCGTCATACAATAATTCACCCACAGCTCAGTGCTCTGGCCCCCACCTTTTTTCCATGCCGTCTGTCTCACGGTATGGTTAACTATTAGCATGAGCTAGATGGATAATATTTTACATTTAAATCTTCATCGCTCAGCAGAATTAAAATGTATTTAAAGGATGCCAAGGTTTGCTTTAGTCTAGTCTCAGATCGATCTCTGTATGGTGACATACAAAAGTCCATCTGATACCAACTGCTGACATTTTCCAGTAAAGTCTTTCCAGGATCACAACTATGACTTCCAAATCCAAAGGTAGTGTTCCAGGTGACAAGGCGTCCTCATCTCTACTTCTGTCCTCTCCACCTTATCAGCGCCTGATCACCAAAGAGGGACGCTGTGCTTTTCGTGTCCCTCTGTCTTCTTCAGGCTCACGGAGAGAGTCTTTGCACAGAGCTTGGCTGCTGGCCCTGCAGGACCTGTGGGGACTGCTGGTAAATCTTCGCTGGAGATGGACTCTTCTGGCCTTCTGCAGCTCCTTCGTGGCTCACTGGTTGTTTTTTGCCTGTCTCTGGTATTTGTTGGCTCATCTGAATGGAGACCTTGATGTGCAAGATCACGATGCCCCACCACAGGGGCATGTTGTCTGTGTAAAGTACATTACAAGCTTCTCTGCTGCCTTTTCTTTCTCTTTGGAGACACAGCTAACCATCGGTTATGGCACCATGTTCCCCAGTGGAGACTGTCCCAGTGCCATAGCGTTGCTAGCTGTACAGATGCTGCTGGGGCTCATGCTGGAAGTATTTATCACAGGTAAAGTGCTCATCAGGTATTCTAATTCTAGTTTTAACGTATAAATTGTAAGACAAAAGAGAAGGTAACAGTTTTTTGACTTTGTAAAAAGTAAATGACATTTACAATTTCAGAAGATTAGGCCTTTTCATGAAATCTTGCAATGATTTACTCGTAAAAAAGGGCATTTTGAAATTTTCCTCGTTAAACTGAGTCTATGGTAGCAGTCTCCATTCAATCCCTGTATGCTCACATAGAGCACATCTGAAAGAGGCATAAAAAGAATCAAGACTTTATTTCAAAAGTGACGTCACTGTGATTTTATTTATTATTATTTATTTCAGTAAAAACGTTATAAAAATTGGTCACTTTGTTATTTCACTTGCTTTGAGACTTGCTGCCTTGCCTTAAATAACAGCAGATCAAATCATTGCATAAGCATGCGTATTTATTCCTGATGATGTCACAGTATGACATATTTGTTCATGAATGATGTCATTGTCTTAACATTCAGGTGCATTTGTAGCCAAGCTCTCCCGCCCCCAGAAACAAGCAGGAGCCATCCAGTTCAGCCCCCAGGCAGTGGTAGGTCAACACCTGGGCCAGACGTGCCTCATGGTCCGAGCCACCAATCTGCTGAAGCGGCCTCTGGTCGATGTAAAGTTGAGTGCTGTGCTTTACAAGTGTGAAGGTCAGGCTCTCCACCAGACCTCTCTGGACTTCTATTTGGACCATTTGGGCCAAAAGGCATGTCCTTTGTTCATATTCCCACTCACCTTTTACCACCCCCTGGAGCCTCAGAGCCCGCTCTACCCTGCCCTGTGTGAGGGGTCCTCCACTAACTTTGAGTTGGTGGTTTTTCTGTCGGCCTTGCAGGAGGGAACTGGTGACTCATGCCAGAAGAGGACCTCCTACCTTCGCCAAGAAATCAAATTAAACCACTGCTTTGCTCCTGCTTTCAGGATAGACTCCCGCGGGAGGTACACAGTGAGCTCCCAGCACTTAAGCACAGCCCCTTCAAATGAGCCTGTGAACAAAGACTCTGTAGTGCAGATCAACAGTGATGGGATGGAGTAAGGATGCTGAAGGAAAATCTCAAGAGATAGTAATTTTCTTTTTTCTCAGGAGGTATTTCACTGAATCTTGTAAACATTAATATATGATTAAGCATAAAAAAATCAAGTGCATGTCAGACACACTGTCAGTGCTGGTGCAGACTCCATCACCATCAAGTCCTCGGTGCAAAACCTAAGGAAGCGTGTTCCTGAGGTCCATATGTAAAGATTTTGTACTTGTAGGAAAATATCTGGAAATGTTATGTTTGTGCATCCATACAGGAGAACGTGTGTGCTTGTAAAAATAATTACACAAGTTGCTTTTTCATTGTTGTTTCGGTCTGTTTGCTCATACAAAGCAAAACAATAGGTGTAAAACTCTGCGTTCATGTTCCGTGTGCGAGTTTCAACTTGCAAGTGCAAGACTGACTAGATTTTCTTCCTTTCAGCTGATTGGTCAATGTCATTGATAGGTTTGTAGCTTGAACCCATCCGCTGGAACGTTGAAGACAATATAATTACACTGCAAAGCAAGACACAAGTAGGCAAGCTTCTTCATGTTTCTCGTGCACGGGAGAGACCGGACAGACGCCGTTCCTTCGCTTGACCCCAGTTGCTCT